TCCCCCTCCAGAGACGAACTTTTCAGCTTGAACTTGTCGGCTTCTACACGCTTGTGAGCCATTTATCTAAGATAAATTTCTCTCTCTCTCTCTATAAATATATATATACACTTTGCTGGTTTTTGTGTTTCTCTAGAGAACCCAATCCAACACAATATCCTAGGTATTAGTGAGCTGAAATGGACTGGTTTTGGCCATTTGGAATCAGACGACCATATAATCTACTATGCCGGGAATAACAATTTGAAGAAGAATGGTGTGGCATTCATCATCGCAAAGGATGTTTCAAAATCTGTCTTGAAGTACAATGCTGTCAGTGATAGAATAATATCCATATGCCTGCAAGGAAACTCAAGGAGGGCTTGATATGAGTCGGGTCCAACTAGACAGCACATAACAACAAGGAAGACCAGTTAATACTACTGCTGTTCAAATTTACGCACCAACCACCAAAGCCAAAGATGAGGAAATTGAAGGTTTTTATCAACTTCTGCAATCTGAAATTGATCGAACATGCAATCAAGACGTGTTAATTATCACTGGTGACCTGAATGCAAAAGTTGGAAACAAAGAATAATGACTGGTAGTTGGAAAATTTGACCTTGGTGACAGAAATAATGCTGGAGATCACATGATAGAATTTTGCAAGACCAATGACTTATTCATTGCAAGTACCTTTTTTCAACAACACAAACAGCAGTTATTCATGCAGACTTTGCCAGATGGAGTACACAGGAATCAGATTGACTACATCTCTGGCAAGAGGTGATGGAAAAACTTAATATCTTCAGCCAAAACAAGGCCAGGAGCTTGTTAGCAATCTCCTTACCTGGATCCTGCCGCTTTGTCACCCAGGAGTTCTCTCCCTTTCCTGCTTCTGGGGTAGGACCTGTCTCCCTCATCAGTACAATAGTATACATATTTAAAAAATAAATGAATGAAATGTCCAAAACAGTTTTCAGGTTGTGGTGTCTGATCCAAAAGAAAATACATTCAACAAAACTGCTCTATCAGCTACTCAAATGCAAGTTCAAGTTGAAGTTGAAGATAATTAAAACAAGTCCACAAGAGCCAAAATGTGACCTTGAATATATCCCTCTTGAATTTAGAGACCATCTAAAGAATAGATTTGATGCATTGAACACCAGTGACTGAAAGCAAGAGGAATTGTGGGATGACATCAAGAACATCATCCATGAAGAAAGCAAGAGGTTATTAAAAAGAAAAGACCAAAATGGATGTCAGAAGAGACTGAAACTTGCCCTTGAGTGGAGAGTAGCTAAAGCAAATGAAAGAAATTACAAGCAAGATAAAAGAGCTGAACAGAAGATTTCAAAGAACAGCTTGAGCAGACAAAGGCAATTACTATAATGAAATGTGCAAAAACCTGGAGTTAGAAAACCAAAAGGGAAGAACACACTCACCATTTCTCAAGCTGAAAGAACTGAGGAAAAAATTTAAGCCTCAAGTTGGAATATTGAAAGAGTCTATGGGCAAGATATTGAATGATGCAGGAAGCATCAAAAGATGGAAGGAATACACAGAACCACAGTACCAAAAAGAACTGGTCGGTCTTCATCCATTTTAGGAGGCGGCATGTGTTCAAGAACCAATGGTATTGAAGGAAGAATTCGAAGCTGCACCGAAAGAATTGGCAAAGAACAAGGCTGCAAGAATTGATGGAATACCCATTAGATGTTTCAACAAATGGATGTCCACCTGGAGGCACTCAGTTGGTTATGCCAAGAGATTTGGAACACAGCTACCTGGCCAACTGGCTGGAAGAGATCCATATTTGTACCCATTCCAAAGAAAGGGGATCCCACAGAATGGAAATTATCTAACAA